CGCGCACACACACACACACACACACACACACACACACACACACACACACACACACACACACACACACACACAGTGCAAAAATAACATCTCCATTTTTTTTTTTTTGTTGTTTTTTGGCTTTTTGGTGATTATGGTAAATCTGTTGTGTTAGGTGGGAATGATGTTGCATTCCCGCTCGGTTGGTTGTCTTTGTGTTATGCAACCCGTTCGTATGTGGTGGTGAAATGTGCTGAATGGTCACCGTCATCCGAATGTTTGCCGATGTGAAAACGTGCCGAAAAAGTGCGCCGGGGTTTTTTTTTTTTTGTTGTTTTTTGGCTTTTTGGTGATTATGGTAAATCTGTTGTGTTAGGTGGGAATGATGTTGCATTCCCGCTCGGTTGGTTGTCTTTGTGTTATGCAACCCGTTCGTATGTGGTGGTGAAATGTGCTGAATGGTCACCGTCATCCGAATGTTTGCCGATGTGAAAACGTGCCGAAAAAGTGCGCCGGGGCAGAGGCGTTTCGCTTTCGTCTGATGTCCCCAAAACTGTTTTTGCGACGACAAAACGGAGTCCTCGGTTTACGAGGTTCCCACAGACAGCGCACAACGAACTAGTTTGTGCAGCGATGTGAGAATATGTCGCCACGCGGTACAATAAGGCACGCTCAAGTTGCCGCGATACTTTCGGTTCTTCATTGGACTCTTTGTTATTCACGGCCGTGTCTTGATACAAACGCGTCTGACTTTTACGACTGCACGAGCATAAGTTATGTTTGTGTTGCGGCGTTTTCTGACTTCAAGTACAACAAGGAACTGAACTCTGTCGGAAACCGAAGGCTCCACGGACCGCATTCACTATACAAGTGCTGCCTCAGAAAATCATAGACCGTGTACCCGTCTCAAGGACAGGAAGGAATACGTTTCAACAATAAGGACTCTTTCCGGAAAAAAAATGTCGTCTTTCAGGGATGCCAAGCCTCCCAATTTCCCGGAATAACGGGGATTGAACAAATGTGTCCGGTTCCAAAGTTGAGACATATTTTGAAATCAGAAGGATCTTCCAAATGTCCGACAATGGAAATGGTCGCGCCATCCATGAATAGAAATGGAAAAAGCCACCGTGTTGTGAGCGAGACACTTTGCTTGCAATTTTTTTGCTTCTGTTAGCGTCATAGCTCGCCCAAGGAACAGATGGGAAAATGGGCGGGGCTTCGCATCTCTCATCTCCCACCCTTTCTCCGCCTTCAAGAAGGTTAGCGCTCCGCTCGGCAAAACAACATTTGTGGACAAGAGCTCTCGCTCCTGTTATTCAAGGTGAAAAGCTTAAGTGCAGTCACCGCCGCCTTGGGCGGCGTTTGACCCGGTGACCGGCGGCGCGCTTGAGGACTCCGCTGGGCCTCGCGCAGCCATTTACCAGCGATGCAAAAAAAAAAAAAAAAAAAGCAGCTGACCAGAAGGTCAGAAGAATTCACGATCGGGCCGATGCGGCGACTAAACGGCAACTACTTACGTGGCGACGGAGCGCCCGAGCGGGTCTCCGGTGGCTCGTTAGCGAGATGAATTAACAGTCAGGAGACAATCAGGCCCGGAGCCACATCATAAAGGGCCATTTCGCTGCGTGTTGCCTGTTAGTCAATATAACTCGGCCGGCCGAGGCAAAGCTTTTATGTCCCCCAATCAATTCTCCACACTTAACGGCATCCGCTAATGGAGAAAAATATGGCATGATCTCAGAGGGAAATCGATAGATGCTAATGCGGGGGACGCCTCGCTCCATCCGTCAACCGGCCGATGGGCGGCGACGGCTTGCCGCTGCTCTTCACCGACACCTCAGACGGATTCGTCAGCCCCGCCCGCCACGTCAGGCCCGAATAACCTAAAGTGGGCTGTTTGACACATCGTGGGGGGGGAGTGGACTTCGCCTCGATCCTGCACTGGTTTCGAATAAAAAAGGAATGGAAGCCGGAGCGGCGCCATAAAGGCTAAGTGGTGACAATCTACTGGTCGGCTAAGCCGGCGACTTCACGCTTCATTGCCAATCAACGTCCTCCCGTCAGGAGGGCTCGTGTGTCGCGACGAGACAAGACACTCCCCTCCGCCGTCCCCCAGACTCCCTGCGTCCCCCTCGACCCCGTCAGCTCGGCTACACCTCACTGCCGTCACTCTCTTGTTTACCGGCTACCTTTTAGCTGCCGGCGCCCAGCAGGACGCTTTTGCATGTGAACGCCGTGTCGGCGTTTCGAACCCAAAACGCGCCGCGGTTTCTAACGGCACATAAAGACCCGCGGCTGCGAGGGCACAGGCGGACGCGTGATGCCAGCGACGTGTCACGCGGTGCGATCGAGACTTGGGGAAAAAAGAAAGGCTCAGCTGTTCCACGCGCTACCTTGGTCGTGTTTGGCTCACTTCCCGCTTTGACAGTGACAAAGAGGGCGGCCTTGGCGGGACAAAAAGGCGCACTCCATCATCAAAGTTGGACTAGTAAAAACGATCTCGGAAATGAGCAACAAAGTGACGACTGCTTCCCATGAGTGGATGGGTAAGCGTTGCTTTATTTTCAGGTTCAACCACGGGGATCGGAACGCCTCGGAATCAATCAATGCCCTACCTCCAGAATGATTGGCACCCCGGGTCAAGATGCGTGAAAAGCTTTCGAATGAATTCCATTTTTCTTGCGGATGCATACTCTGAAAACTAGAGCTCTCAGTCCCCAGACGTCAACCCTCTGGAAAGCTAAATTCTCGCCGTGTTTCAGTTCACAAAACGACGCCAATCCATCGCACCCGCCAATGTGCACCGAGCCGCGTCATCGACCGATCGCAAAGCGAAAGTATGTTTGTTTGCGGCCGTGACGAAAACTTCCTCCCGGTTCAAGAAGCGCCGTTGTGCCTTAATGGGCATCTTTACGTTGCAAAAACGAGAACACTCACACACGCACGCACTTCCACACGCATGCCATAGTGAGCAACAGCCACAACAGCCCCGAAGATGAACGAAAGAGAAAAATAAAGTTGACACAAGAGTTTGGGAAAATCACCGCCTACTTTCGGTCGAGACCTGACGCGGAGGCATGGGATGCACTTTTGCGGCGTGTTAACTATCGTAGCTCACGTGTACCGTTTTAAAATGCTTCTCTCGGCCCTCCACATTCCCTTTCTTTGCCAGTACCCTCGGTGAATTGTACATGAAATGCTGTTTTTTGTTTTTTTTGTTTGTTTTACAACAGCCATCTGCCTGGCATTCTGCCCTGCTAATAGAAACGTGTGTCGCAGGCTATGACGCAAATCTTCGTTGACGGAAATGTTGAAATGTGATATTTATTCGATGTATTTTTACAGCATTGGAAAACGTTAAGAATGAAGCCATATTCAAACAAAAAATATATTTCGCATTTTTGAAAAAGCCACCAAAGAGCCGCATGCGGCTCTAGAGCCGCGGGTTGCCGACCCCCGGCCTAGACTGATTAAAAAAAAAAAAAGACTATAAAAAAAAAAAAATACTATCTGGGAAGGAAAGTTTGAGACTTTTTAAAGTGGCAATATACCTTGAATCCAGTAACCGGCCCAATTCTACCCTCTGAAAAATAGTCAATCTCTTTGAGCTGTAAAACTTTTGGCTTGGCACACAGCCCTTTTTTTCAGTCGAAACCAATCGAGCCGATGGCTGCAGACTATGGAGAAGTGATTTGGAGGTTTGACGGGGATGGCAGGGACAGGACGCGGGAGGGGTGGCGGCGGGGGGGGACAAAAACAAAGACAAGAGACGTCAGCAAACAAATCCTCTCGCAACCACTTGATGGTTTAGTGCCTTCAGAGCCCATCACGAGCAACTAAAGCAGCACCCGCCCGCTCGTCACAGCGTGACGGGTTCCCCGCGAGGAGACTTGAGAACGGCAGGCAAACTGCATGACAACCGCATTGCGTTGCGGAGCACGTAAGAAGTGAATCGTCTGTAGTTGTGACGCCATCAGGCGAGGACATGATTCCGACATCCTCCTCCTCCTCCTCCGGTCAGTATTGGGGCTAACAACTGTGATTAATAATAGCACGTATGGAAAATCCACGATGTTTTGAAAATAAAAGAGCGGTTTCGTTCTGTCATCTCGATACGACGGAGGCAGACACAAAAATCCCCGGGGCTCCTCCTCGACGCTTGCTCCTCCCCTTCTCGCTTCTGCTTTAAACGTAAACAGCAGTCCGAGAGATGACGGAGCCATCCCGCTGGGACTCCATGTCGTCGTCCAGGTAGTCTCCGATCATCTCGTCCTGCTCGTTGGGCGGGCGCAGCTGCAGGATGGGGGCGCCGCCGGAGAAGTGGTCGTAGCGCTCCTCTTCCTCCAGCTCGTCAAACTTCCTCCTCTCGGCGTCGTCCAGCTCGCTGCTGAGCAGGATGTCCTGGGCGGTGGGCGTGCCGGCCGCCACCTCGGGCCGCCCGCCGATGGTGAGGGGCCCGTGGTTGTTTTTCTCCCCCTGGTGGGCCGAGCCGTCGTAGATGGGGCCGTTGTTGTTGCCGGCGCCGCCCGTGCCGTTCTTGCTGGCCTTTTTGCCGCCGCCGAATATGCGCGCCTTCAAGTCGCTGCCGCCGTTGGCCCGGTAGCCCTGCTGCTGGCGGCGGCTGCGGGTGACCAGCACGGCCACCAGGGCGGCCACCAAGAGCAGAGCCAGCAGGGAGCCGATCACAGCCCCCGCCACCACGCCGACGTTGGACGGGTTCACTGAAGGCTCTGCAGGGAGGGGGAGGAGGAAGGGCGGGAGTGAGAACGGGAGAAGAAGAAGAAGAGTGTGAATTGTGCCAAGAGAGGAAAAGTTGTCCAACACCAAGCGTGGAAGGAGGAAAGGAAGAGGACCAGAGGAGGAGGTTGGGGCGGTTCGGAGATGTCAATGTACTGTTGGTGTCAAAGGCCTGACGAGTCCGCGGAGTGCGTATGCTCGGGATTTTGCACTTGGAATCAGTCATGATTTGTCGTTTTTAAATTTGCCCTAACCGCGGTAAAACAAAGGCAAAAAGTTCATTTTTAAATCGATGAGAGGAGGGGGAGGGGGCCAAACTTAAATGACGTGGGGGGGGCGATTGTATCTGGGCTGCATCAAGATGTCTACAAAAAAAAAGGGGGTTCAAATTTTCAATCAAATCTTGTTAATCTTTCTTAACAGTTCAGAACCTGAACAGTTCTTCAGAACCTGAACACGATTGGTGACTCAGTTTTCTCTCTCTCTCTCTCGCTCACATCTCGGTGGTACGCTGGATACTCCTCCTACTTGAGAAATGACATCTGAGCGCCGCAACTTTCGGTGCGCATTCAAAACATTCCGCCTCCAGTTTGTCTTGAAATTGGCAGTTCTGGTCGACGACTTCTCTCGTCACGGCAAGTTTTGAAAAAAGACACGACTGGGACTGGGTGACAGGATTATCTTTTCCTTCACCTCGGCGTCACTTCAGAATTATGTTTCACAAAAGCGGCCAGGAGCCTGAGCCAATAAGTGATTAAAAAAATGAATAAAAAAAGACACATGTGAGGGCTGCACTGACAAACTTTGGTGTCAAGTAGGGGGCCACAAAATCAAAATATCATCCTGGGACATAAGTTTGAGACCCCTGGGTAAGAAGAATACCAGTCTACTTTTGCGGAATTTCCTCATAGAGTGACAAACGGGCATTTACACAACATTGTGGCCCAAGCACGCCGTGTCTTCGAGTCGACAAATCATGTAAGATGTTGACGTACTTTGGTAAGTGCTGCTGTTTTGATTGGCAACTGAGTAAAGGGAAAGTCTGTGTGGCCACCGACTACTTGTATCAAGTGAAGTCATCATTTCTACTTGGAGGAGGAGGCGTCTATTTGCGGGAGGCGTAGGGCTGGAATGAGTCTCAAGTGGCGGAATCACCTGGCAGCTCCTTCGAGGAACACCCGCCGGTGGAGGAAATACGGCAACATTTCCTAACTCGGCGCTTTGATTGTCAGCAGTGAATGGCGCTCATTCTCGACAAATAATACAGTTCTTGTGCAATATAGTCTGAGGCTGCCGGATGCTAAACCGAACAGAAATAACTCAATGGTGGAAGTCGAGGTTACCGAAATCAAACGGGTTCTTCCTTCCTCAGATGGAATCTGGCCCGATTGACTTTAGCTTACGATCAACATCGCCGACCGTCGCTTTTTACTTTTCGCACAAGATTGTAAGCACACGCTCAAGAAAGTTGAACTTTATGGACATTCGCAAGGGCTCAACTAGGTCAGACGGCTTCCGAGAACAGGGGGAAGATTAATCGAGTATTTTGTGTGCCTTCAAGCTTGAGAGCGGGGTCGACCCACTCAGGTGAAGTGGCGTGTATCCAGGTAGCCCCTTGCTCCGCTGACATTTCCCCCCATTGCTGCCTCACCACTGCTTCCCCCCCGCCCCCATTCCCACCCCCACGTCACACAAAAAGGTCTCAGACACTTTGCCCTTCAACCGCTAAGCTTGCGTCCAAGGCTGCTGCTGCTGCTGCTGGCTACAAGTCACAAAGCGCAGGCGGTGGCGGCATCGAAGAGCGGGCAATGGCGTGCGTGCGTGCGTGTGGGTGGGCGGAACAGGTGGAGGCCATGCGAGGTTTGATCATGATGAATGGAGCAGCGGAGGGTGGGAATGAGATGAAGAAGACGGAGGAGGAGGTGAAGGAAGAGTGAGAGTGAGTGACAAAGTGATGCAGCAGAATGACAGGGCCTCCTTGAAGGCACGAAGGAGAAGCACGGCACAGACGGCCCCCCCCTCCCCACCACCAGCAGCCGCTCACTCCCCTCTCTCGTGCCCGCCCCCCCCACTCCTCCCTCCAAACACGAGTGTCCATTTGATTGGCTGAATCACAAAGAGAAGCCTCTTAAATTCTACTTGTTTTGGAATCCCAACAGGCGAGGACGCTGACGTTCACTCGGCAGTATTTCTTCCGGCGCGCGAACGCTGCAGAGAAGACGACGCCTAAATCAGAGCTCCCGTATGACTCGTCAGCCATATACTGCGCTCTCTCAACTCATACTTTCCTCTCCCGTGTGCGGCGCACTGTTTAAAAAATAAAAAAATAAAAAAGGAATGTTTGACAGCAAAAAGAGTCAACAAAAATGCAAGCCATCCTCAGTGTGAACTTGAAGAGTTTTGTGTCGAAACAAAAGTGAAGCCATTAAATTCCCACATCTCCTCAGACGGTGACCTTCCTTTCGAACAGACAGTTCCGTCATCCGCTTCCCTCAAACAAGTCTCCTCCCGATTGCTCAACATAAAAAGCCGTGGCTAATTACCCCAATTCGTATCGCCGCAATTGTTCACATGGACATGAAAGTTCGAGGCTAAGCCGATCTAAGCCCGGGAACTGAGGAAAAACAGCAGCATCTATACCACCATACAAAGACTGTCTCCGAGATGAAATGTGAAATTGGCAAAAAAAAAAAAAAAAAAAAAAAAAAAAAAAAACAAATGCAACCCGGGATTGACGAGGGGC